GGGTTGTGGGCCAGGTACCCAGTAGGCACATTGATGTTTCCCTTTCTCTCTTCCTTTCCCTCTCTCCAAAAATAAATACATGAAATCTTTAAAAAATACGGTTATCTTGAAACTATATTAAATTCAACATATCATATTTACATTGTTTCTTTAAAAATTGCTTTTTAAAGGTATATGAAAATTATTAAACAATTTTAGAATCCTGTTATACATATGACACACTGATGGATAAAAGGACTAAAAAATGCATAGAATATATAAACTTGCAACAGCAGCTACCAATATACTTGTGGTAATTAAAAATGCATGAATAAATTACAGCAACCTTGTTCATTCTTTTTTAAAAGTGTTTTCTAATTACAAAAGTCAAGTTACTTCTGGGTGAGACGGGTTCGTTGGAAAATACTCTACCAAATGGAAAAGTAGTATTAACATAACTTCCTTCTCACAAGATCTGTTTGGATACTGGTACTAATTCATCACTTGATTTGTGAATTATACTTCCCATGAACTGCTTATATTTTCTTCACTCTCTTTGAAAACATTTTATATATATGTAACATTTTTTATCCTCACCCAAGGACACTTTTTTATTGCCTTTTAGAGATAGCGGAAAGAAGAGAGAAAAGGAGAGAGAAACATCAACATAGGAGAGAAGTATCAATTGCTTGCTGCCAGGACCAGTAATCATCTGCACCCAGACCTGGGACAAAACCCACAGCCTAGGCATGTGCCCCGACTGGGAATCAAAACCACAATGCTTGGTTCTATAGGATGATGCTCCAACCAAGCCACAAACTGGTGTGGGCAATGCTTCACAAGTTTTGTTGCAAAGTTATGGCCCTGGCTGGTGTGGCTTAGTTAGTTGGCTGGAGCATAGTCTTGTAACAGAAAGGTTGCCGGTTTGACTCCAAGTCAAAGCACATGCCTAGGCTTTGGGTTTGATGTCCTATTGGGGCATGTAGGAGAGGCAACCAATTGATGTTTTCTAGCATCAGTGTTTCTCTCCATTTCTCTCTTCCTCCCCCTCTCTCCAAGGTCAATAAGCATGTCCTTGGTGAGGCTAAAAAATATTTATTAAATGTTTTATTAAAATGAACATCAATCACCCTATCACTTAACGAGGAGAGTGCCAGTATTTATTTTCTCTCCATCCCTGGTCTTACTCTGATTTCTCACCAGCAACAAACATTCCTATATCATGGCCATCATTTTTCTTGAATATATCTCCAAACAACAAAAAGTTTAATTTTGCTTATTTGTTTGTAAGATTTATAAAATTTATATTATACTGTTTTTTAAAGATTTTATTTATTTACCTTTAGAGAGGGGAAGGGAGGGAAAAAGAGAGAGTGAGAAACATCAATGTGTGGTTGCCTCTCGAGTGCCCCCTACTGGGGACCTGGCCTGCAGCCTAGGCATGTGTCCTGGCTTGGACTTGAACCAGTGATCCTTTGGTTCTCAGGCCAGCACTCAATTCACTGAACCACACCAGCCAGGGCATATATTATACTGTTATAGTTTTCTGGGACTTGGTTTTTTAACTCAAGGTTTCTAGGAGTCATCTATGTTGTGGCACATCATTGTGATTCATTTCATTCATCTTTATTCAATCTATGTATATATTATACTTAAGTTATAAATACAATACATATTACTTGTGTATTTTCTAAAGTATATTTATTAGGATTATTTTTAGTTTGGCTTTTACAAATGATATGGCTGTGAATAAACTTGTATATGTTTTCCAGTATAGAGTGCAAGAGAAGCTATCAGATTTAAGAGTAGAATGGCTGATTCAGTGTACACAGAAAATGCAATGGTTTGAATTTATTCTAATTTATGTACAGCTAATTGTTTTCCCAAGGGTCACACCACTTTGCAACACCATCAACAATGTGTAATGAATGATTTATAAAGCATAATGTCTCTATATTGGACACATTCAACACTTGATATTTTCAAGGATGTTAATTTTTGACATCTATTGGGTATAAAATGGTCTCATGGTTTGAATTTGTATTTTTCTGATCACAGTGAGGTTGAGCTTCTTTCCTTAAGCTTATGTGCCACTCCTGAAGGTTTGGATTTAAGGTAGGAAAGATGACACAAGTAAAAGAAAATGGTAGAGTTGTGCTAAGAAAAGCTAAAAAACCCCCCTCAAAAACCCTACTTGTATTTTTCTGGATGAAAATAAGAATGACCAATTATGGAAATAAGAAATTTTATTTAGTTATGTTAATTTTTTAAAACATATTAGGCACCCAAGTGATATGTCAAGTGGGCACTTAGCTTTACATAAATTGGAATAAATTGGAACAATTGCCTTTTCTGTGTACATTGAATCAGCCATTCTACTCTTAAATCTGATAGATTCTCTTGTACTCTGTATGAGAAAATGTATACAAGTTTATTCACAGCCATGTTATTTGCAAAAGCCAAACTAAAAATAACACAGAAATCTGGAGCTGAAGGGAGAGAAACAAGCAAAGTTAAAGCCATGGCTTAAGTTGAGAACACACTGAGAGGGAAGAGACATCTGAAGACTGAGGTATGGGCATTTCAGGTACAGGGGCCAGGAAGTCAGGAAGCAATGGCAGAGGGGAACGTAAAAGACAGAGGCCAGGGAAGTAAGTGAGAAAGTTATCTTAGGAGCAAAGAGAAGAAAGTAGAGGAGGCACAATGAGCCCCTATTACAAGTGCTGAAGGCCAAAGTCTTCTCAAGTGCAATGAGAGCTGAGAACTGTCTATTGGATTTAGCAACATAGAGGTCATTTGAAATTTTGAAGAAAGTTATTTCTCCAATAGTATTGGGGTAAAATTCTGATTGAAGTGGATGGATTCAGGTGAGTGTGGAAGGAAACAAAATGAAAAGTATGATTATAGACCATTGTCTATACAAAGAATTTTTCATATAATGCTGACATAAACAAGGTATATTCTACAGAAATGTGGAAATGTATATATTATTGTACATATTTATTTAATGAGAGATAATCATGTTTTGGGCTAATAGCAAGAATTCAGTAAAGAAGGAATTTTAATAATGCAGAAGAAATAACTAACTAGAATGCATCCATAAGTGAGAAGAGAGATGAGGCCCAGCATACAAGGTGAGGAGTGGACTTAAGGCAATGACAAGTTCATTTACAAGGACACATTTTCTTAGGCATTTATTCTACATGATCACTTCAGAAGTGGGCAGCGAGAAGTGTGGATGTTCAGAAGTATGTCTTTTTTTGTGGCATGCAGAGCTATGTGCTGGTTCAATTCTATGTTAAAGCTCACTGAAGAGTTGCTTTTCTTCCAGGTTTGTGAAGCATTTGGTAATATAACTCCCACAATAATTTGGTAAACTTGCAATATCTTTGCTTTTCTAGAGCCTCATATGTCAGTAACTATATTCAAAGTTTTGATTTTTCTTTTCTGTATATAATTCTAAATTAGGTTTTATTAATTTTTTTTTATTCATTGCCTTTATCTCTCTCTCTCTCTTTCTTACAAATTACTGGCATCTATCCTAAACTCACAAGAAACAAGGATTTTGTGGGATAACACTCTTGATCTGATGGTTAATTCATACCTTTGAGTCTTCCTGTTTTCTGGGTTTTTCAGTCTCTTTAAGCAATAATCCTTTTATTCAGATGAAGTTTACTATTCCATATTTGGAAGGCTGTCACCTTTAAACTCTGTTCCCTTTGACTTCTACATGAAAACCAGCCAAATCTTGCTTGAATTCTTTCTTGTAATATATATCTATATAGTAATATATTTATAAAGGCAAATATATTGTAATTTATTTCTGAATTCAGGCCACATTTTCTCATACTCCCTTTTGGTATTTTTAGCCACTTCTTCTAGAAGTACGGTTCCAATAAGCTCACACTATGCCTTCACAGTTCTTAGAGGAAAATGTTTTCCCTAATGCTAAAATCGATCTTTACATTTCTAGCTTGCAATAACTTCTCAATACCCATTGCCTATAATGCTCAAATAGCTATTGTACAAGTTTTTTTCAAGGAAGCACAAGTGGCAAAAAAATGATTAAAAAATCTGAATTATTAAAAAAATTGTAAAACATTCTAGATTAAAAATAACATGTTTCCAGAAGGTCATATGAATTATTTTCCAAGTGGAATCATTTTATTTCTACCTCTGAGAGACTGTCAATATATCAATGACCCATAATTTGCTTTGTATAATGCATATTTTTTTTGCTCAAAATTTTTATGGAAAAATAAGGATGTGCATTAAACATGGGTAATACCTGAAATACGTTGTATCTGTGTTTGTGTTTTGTAATTCTTTGTTATATGCAATTTCTTCTACCATAATATGTTTAAAAATAAATGCTAAAAATCTGTTATAATACAAAAAAGTATCTAAATATAAGTAAATAAAAATTGAATTTAAAAATTAAAATTAAAGATTTTTTCCTGAAAGTTTGGGTCAAAAATGTGGGTGCACAGTATACATGGCAACATATGGTAATTTGCATCCAACAAGGAAATATTCAAGTGAAGAAAGAAGTTCTTTTCACTTTCATCTCCCTTCAACAAGTTGAGTATAAATAGCAAGGCTTGGACATACCTGTATGTTGCCATGTATAACGTGCATTTTTTGCCTAAATTTTTGGAGAAAAATATAAAGCTATGCATTATATTGGACAGTACTAATTCCATATCTATATAAGTGTTTTTAATTCTCTTTTTATGCTTATGCATTAAATCTATAACTCTAGAAGGCAATAATGATATCTGTACACAAAATAATACCCTGGAATATGATAACTGGTTTTGTTTCTAAATATAAATAAATAAATAATTGAATTAAAAAATTAAAACAAAAATTTTTTTTCCTGAAAGTGGGCCAAAAACATGGGTGTGCACTTTACATGGCAAAATACAGCATTTTGATACAGGCATTTAATCTGTATCATTCTTTGTCTACAGACAGACCTTAAATTCTGACTTATGAATTTTTCTTTTTTTTTTTTTTCCAGGGGAGAGCATGAGTGCAGTCCCCACTACCACAAATCATGTGGTAGAGTTTCCCACATTTGGGGAAATCACAGGGGTCAGCACATCCAGACTGCAGTGGATAAACCTCATCCTGGGAAAACCACCTTCGTGATCATGGTACCTCTCCTGCCAGATAAGTATGATTTTTTATGAATTTTCATCTCTACTCTCTCCCTTGGGTCTTACCTAACTTAACACTGTCTCTATAGCCTCTCCTCCATCAGAGCCTCCTTTTGGTTAGTTCACTCCTCCACAGAGGGGTTGATAGGAAGACTTCATCTAATATCTTGAGGTTTTCTCTCTGTCCTGTGGTGATAGAGAAGGTTAAAGTAGTAAGATATTGAGTTAGATGGTATGTAGGTCCTTTGTATTTGATTAATTCATAAAAGATGCTCAATACAGTGCTCGTTGACTAAAAGTTTAAAAGCAGATTTTAAAAAAACTTATGAAACTGATTCTCACTCTGATGATCTAGTCTTAATTTTTAGGTCAATAAGGTAAATAAAATTTTGAAATCACTTAAGTTTATATTTTAAGTATTTATAAATATAAAATGAATTCTACTAGTACTTTATCAGTGAATTTTTTATTCTAAAAAAACCTCATTTAGTGTAAGATACTTACATATTGTTAAAACTATGTTTTGAAAGTGTCCTAGCAGGACTAATGCCCAGAACGAATGAAAATTGTGGGGAAACACTGTTATATAAAAGCCTAAACTCTGGCTTTCTTGACTGGGGAAGGCAGGAGTGTGTGACCCGCCAGAGGGGGGTGAGGGGGGTTGAGGAAGTGGGGAGGTGGGGGCAAGTGCAGATGGCTGGGGTGCCCTTGGGAGCTGCAAGGCTGAGGCGCCAGCAAGCTGGGTGGCAGTCAGACCACCAGGTGTGGTCTCAGTCCGTGGTGGACTGGCTGCTCTACACTCCTACTGAGGTGGTGTTGCTCCTGTTCCTGTGGCCTTGATGATTACCTGACACCTACATTGAGAAGATGGCTCCTGGACTGTATTCTGAAAATGACTACAACTTCTTGAACAAAGAACACAGACAGGTTGGTGTAACAGAAGAATTTCAAACTCTAAGGGACCTTCCTTTTGTCTTACACATTCGTTACTCATTTGAGTAGTATATTAAATGGTTAATGATCTCACCTATTCATAGCTAAGTTCTTAAAACTAAACTCTTTGATTCATGTTCAATAACTTTTTTCAAATATCTGATGACTTTACGGGAGCTGAATTAAAGTATTTATATAGAAAGGTTTAGTGTATTCATTAAGAACTACAGTAATGTCTTTCCTTTAACATTTTAAGGGTAGGCCAAGGTTTAGTAAGAAGCTAGAAAAATTCCTGGGCAAATGTAATGGGGAAATCAAGACAAGAAAATTAAACAAGACCAAATGGTTTGAGTAACTTGTGGCCAGCTGGTCAATCTCAAGACCTTATCTCCCCTAACCTAGGACATTTGAAACCAAATGGTTTACACCTCTCCTCCCTAATGAGAGATACAAAGCTTAGACCACCCTGATCTGGGAACTTCCTTTGATACTCCTTGCAGTTGCTGGCCACAAACCACAGGTGTGCTGGGAAGAGAGGAATGCTACTGCAAATGGAGAGATCACACCGGAACAGAGGGAGTGAGTTTGGGGAGAAGCTGCAAGAATCCCCTCCCAGCTCCTCCTCCCCTTATTCCTAAGAGAAAGGACAAGTCTGTGCTTTCCCTAGAAATTTTCTCCCTCCAGAATTCTCATGTTTCCTTTATATAAACTTGCTTCTTAAAGCTCAAGAGGAAGGTGGATGTTAGGGTTTTTACCTACCATGTTCTCAGATTGCTGGCCTCTGGTATTAATAAAAGTGCAATTATAATCCAATCTCTGTCTCTGTCTTTTGATTGAACAGTGGCAGGCAGCCTGAGCCCCAGACTTGGTTGCCTTCCAATTTCAATACGATGATTTAATAAGGTGAAGTATCTAAAAATAAATTACTTGAAAGCAAGGGAAGGAGTTTGAGAGAAGGAGTTAAAAGGTACACAGAAAATACAGGTCTACAAAATATTGGCTTTAAGTGGGTCTCTGTTTTGGCTGCCATACTAATGTGATCTTAGAGAAAGTGTATAATATCCAATATTGGAAAGCTGGAGTACAAGTCTTCCCACCCCAACCTCTTCCTTTTAAGCTCTTGAACTCCCTAAAATAGGATGGTATATTTCAAACCATTTTTTTATTATTGGGATTGCATTAAGAATGCTTGTGGCCAAAACATGTTTATTTTTATAATTTCTGTAAGTCTACTACTTTACAGCTAACTACTTTGCTTAACTACTTTAGCAAAGTCAGCCTATTTACTCATTCAACAAACATTTGAGCTTTTAGTATGGGCTAGGGTAGGGAGTGAACAAAACAAGCAAAAATCCTTGCCTTCATGGAGCTTATGACCTTGCTTTTTAAAAAAAATATAAGTATGTTAACAAGAATTTACACTGGCATTTAATTACAAAGGTTACATTCCCAGAGTAGCTACTACAAGCCCTCAGAACAGATATTCCTTTGTATAACATATTAGAAACAGCCTCGCATCAAAATGGGTGACGTTTGATATTTGAGAATTGCCTTTGTATTTTGGGGATGCTTCCCTCCCTTCAAATCTGGGTGTAGAGCTGGTAAACTCTATGTCCTTTACCTTTTAGATTGGCAGTTAGGGTTACAGTGAAATTTGGGACTGATTTTGGAGGATTTTATCGGTGGACCGTAAGGGTAGCAGTACCTTCAGGATACTGTTGCATCTTTCTGAAGAAAACCTTTTCCAAGTTTGGAGCATCTAGAAAAACACAGAACTGGGATTTCCTTGAGCATACCAAACATTGTATGAACTGTTTCTGTGTTGCTTGCTAATAATATTGTCTAATGAATGTTTATTTCATAGCTAAAAATGTCTAAATTATCATTTTTGTATGCTGACCTAACTATGCTGTTCTCATGTCTTTTCTCATCTCACATAATAACTATATTTTTATTGTAGCATTGATCTTATCTTTTTAAATTTTTATTTACTGATTTTAGAGAAAGAGGAAGAGAGAAACATTGATTTGTTGTTCCACTTATTTACATATTCATTGGTTGATTCTCATATGTGACCTGACTGGGGCTCAAACCTACAATCTTGGTGTGTCAGGATGATACTATAACCAACTGAGCTACCCAACCAGGACCACATCAATCTTATATTTATACCCTCTAATATATTCTCTGTTAGTTCATGCAGCTAATACGTTACCAGGCTTTGGATCAAGGTCTGTTTATTAAAAATCAACTTTGTATATACCAACCAATTTTATTTTGTTGCATATTACCTCTTCTGCTTACTGTCACATCTAAATTATTTCACATCTAAATGAAGTAAATAATTTTGACATTTTTCTACAAAATTTAGGAAAAGCTAAAAATGTGTAGTTCAATCCACTGCATATTACAAAAACTAGTAACATAACTTTTATCATAAAAATTATATACTTAAAAAAATAAAATCATTATTAACAAGAATATATAAAAAGGGTATAAAACAACATAATCTGTTCTTGCTTTTGAATGAACATGTATTATTTGTCATTAAGGAAGACTTTACCTGTCTTTGTATCTCTGATATTTAACATAATATTCATATAAATATTTGGCAATATTTGCCTAATGAGTAGATTATAAATGACCAAATCTGTATTCATAGCTTAAATAAAATAATACTTTAATTTTATTAAATTGCCCAGATTAAGCTTAATATTTTGGGGGGATGATTTATTAGGTTGATATATCCTTCCCATATGATTTATAATTGAATGAAATTGTTAGGTAACTTTCTCACATTTCAGTTAACTTTGGTATATTTTATGAACTATTTCTAACGTGTGATTCCAGTGTATTAGCATATAAATATGTGTGATGAAAATAATAACAATGTAGGAAATTATGGATTACTAATTTTAAAAATAAATTTTTGGTTCAATCTATTACTGCAAAGCAGCTATATAATTGGTATTGGTAATAAATTGATCAGTAGGATCTTTTTGTAGTCAATGACCAGCATATATCCTATACTGACAAGTATTCAACAATAGGTCTTTGATATTCACATTTGTGTGTGTTTCACATGTAATTCCTAATTTGGCTGAATAAATACATTTCAAAGACTTCTGGCCAAGATGGAGGTGTAGGTAGGCACATTTTGCCTCCTCACACAACCAAAAGAAGGACAGAACAAATTTAAAAACAAAAAATAACCAGAACTGACAGAAAATCAAACTGTATAGAAGTCAACAACCAAGGAGTTAAAGAAGAAATATTCATCCAGTCTGGTAGGAGGGGCAGAGACAAGCAGCCCAGATGGAGAAGGCTTGAAGCAAGGTGGCTGGAGGAACAGGTGGTCCCACATTTGCATATGGATAAACTGAAAGGGATGTAATAGGGTGCAGTCAAGGGGGACCCCAAATAGGGATTTGTAATGGGACCCAGAACTTGGTGTCCAGGAAATATTAGAAAAAATACATATATAGGATGTCCTCATCCCCACAAGTCTGAGCTGGGGGATGGGACACATGGAGCAGGGCCATTGACAGATGTTTTGCATAGCAACAGTTTTGCAGATAAGCTCTAGAACCATTGTTTAGCATATCTATAACCTTAAACTTGTTTCAAAGATATGTTAAATAGCTGTGGCTGTGCTTTGAGCCAGAGGGATGAGAGCAATTTCAACCCAGGATGTAACTGGGAGGCAACTCCCCCTGGTTACAAAGAATCCCTAAGAGCTTGGAGATGGTTCACTCCACACCACAGGGCCACGCCTTCCCAGACTTACTATGGCAGCTCAGTAAAGCTGGAAAAATATGGGAATGCTGGCAGCTGTGGCCAATTGTGGGAGGAGTCGGAAATAGTGCCACAGAGGAAGATTGGGGCTGGGATTTAAACCCAGGTGCAGCAGCCATGTGGGGTCTTTTTGGGACCAGGAGGCTTGGGCAGAGAAGAACCACGGACTTCTGTTTCTTTTTCTGAGATATGGCACCCTGAACTGGGCAGAGGGGGAAGGAAGGACTGTGCATTTTGGGGTATTCTAAAGGACTTTGGGATCTCAATGAAGACATTAACTCATTACTCTAAGT